CAGATCTTTGTATCCTTTTTATTCATTTTTTCTCGCTCTATTCCATAGTGATGCTAGATTTCGCCCAACATTAAAACAATTTCTAAAATTCGACAAGATTTGATGAAAAATGTGGACAAAAAAAATCAGAATTTTAGTCAAATTTTAGAATTCTTTTAATGCTAGTCGAAGTCTAGTATCACTATTGGGCAGAGCGAGAAAAGCTGACTAAAAATTCTACTAAGATTTAGACAGATTTTATGAGTTTTTACACCGAAAATCTACAATCTGTATACTGAAAAAAATAAGGTACCATGCCGAATTTTTTTTGAAACGAATTCTAAACCTTGCAAAAGATTTCGTAAAAACCCATGACCCCTGCAAATTGCTTGTTATTGATTGACGAGTTTTTTCTGGAGGTTTCGTGGAGATTTTCATGGTTTGATACGAAACTTATAAAGGTTCAGAATTCGTTTCAAAATTCGGAACTTTTTTAAGTTCCGTACATCTCACGAAACCTCTTTTTTACGTCGCGAAACCCTTTTTCTCTCTACTAAACCTTTTTAGGTTTGGTATGGTACCTTATTTTTCTTCAGTGTACAGGAGGTATGTCGCATCAAACTTGTTTTACTAATCATATTGATTATTGTATTCATCAAAATACAGCAAAAAGCAATGTAAGCGAATTCAATGACTAACACAACATACGAAAGGAAGAAAAAACATGCGTAAATGATCGATTGAAGACAAAAAACACACATTAGTGGTTGTTTGCACCTAGTAGAAAATAAAGACCAGTTTTCTACAATTGAAAGAATTTGAATCGAGCAAAATCGTCAGCAATTATTGATCACGATTCTTTGTAATTATGGAAAAAGATCTTTGAGATGAAAAATGTTCGTTCAAAATATAAATAACGCAATATAAAGAAAAGCAGAAAAATCTTCAAAAAGCAGAAGAGGTGGTAGCCCTGGTAATATGTGAATAGAACCTAGGTTCTATTCACATATTAAATAGTCATTTTTTAGATTTTTGTAGGGTATTGTTATATTCAAAAATCAAAATAGAGCTAAAAAGTTTTATGATCAAAAACTGCACTGCCCTATGCTCTATTAAAATCTGTACAGTTTTTAGCAAAATCAATTCTGTTCTGATGTTTATTTTCTTCAGAACATTATAAGACGGTGTCTATTTTCGGAGTACTTTCAATGTCGATGTCCATCATTTTCATACTGAACGGTGGTGTACCCTATATGATATATATTTTTGTTAATCAGGTTATTGACAATGAGAAATTGTATATAAGCTGAAAGCTTTTCGAGAATTGAGTGGTTACTCACAGAGAAAAACAGTTTTCTTAATGCAGTGCATTTTTTGCAAACTTGTTTCGGATTTCGGAAACTTAGACCACTGTACTTCGAAGAATGTGATTCCAGGAAGGTATAGCATAAAATTCTGTACATAGCGAGTGGAATAAAATTTTCATTGTGCGAAACATTCCAGAACCAAAATCAATTTTTCACATCTGTGGAAGTTGTTAAAAATCCCGATCTTATTTGACTGACTCGGCTAGCACAACTGCATTTACGAGCAAAGTGCATCCAATTTTCAGAATCAGCGTAAATAAACTGGCTCACGCCAAGTTAGATAGGTTTCAGTGAAAAATGTTTTCCTTCCAGAAAACAAGCTGAGGGAACCACCGGCAAAATATTTTAAAAAGAGCTGATGGAGATTCGAGGTGTTCCATGCAAAGAAAAATATTATTTACTGAAATCTATGTTACTTGACGTGAGTCAGTTTATTTGTGCTGATTCTGAAAATTGTATGCGCTTTGCTCGTAAATGCAGTTGTGCTAGCCGAGTCAGTCAAATAAGATCGGGATTTTTAACAACTTTCACAGATGTGAAAAATTGATTTTGGTTCTGGAATGTTTCGCACAATGAAAATTTTATTCCACTTGCTATGTGCAGAATTTTATGTTATACTTTCCTGGAATCACATTCTTCGAAGTACAGTGGTCTAAGTCTCCGAAATCCCAAACAAGTTTGCAAAAAATGCGCTGCATTGAGAAAATTGTTTTTCTCTGTGAGTAACCACTCAATCATCGAAAAACGGTTAGCGAATATAGTAGAACCTCCCATAGTGTACACCTTGTGACGGCACAATCGTCATTGATATTATCTTGGTGCTTATCTTTTTCTTTTTCTAGCTCCCCTCTCTTTTTCTGTTTGTTTGCTTTGCGCCTAATATTGTTAATTCAATATAATAATTATTCTTCTCTTTTTTCTTCAAGCTTCTTTATATATATATATATATATATATCTTCTCTGGGATATACCTACATTCATTCTTTCAATACATTTCTCTCATCATTCGAGTCTATCTATCACTTGTTCTATTTCTTCGCCATCAAATGAATCATCTTTTTTATTAAATGCATATTATCTTCTTTCAACTCGATTGTTCTTTACAATTACTCTTAGGCGTGTTAACTACTTGCTTGCTGAGTTCTTATTCTCATATATTTCTTGTTCATTGAATAAACTATTGGATCTTCATCTATATTCAATACCATTTAATTTCTTTGCTATCAGTCTGCCATAAATAATTATTGTGGCACTTGGTATTTTTATTAATTGGATCTCTGATCCCTATGAAGGGGTTCACATCTCTATACAGTTGACACTCCGCGGTTTGACGGAGCAATTTTTGCTGGAATCTAACATCTCTATAGCGAACTCATCAGTATAGTGGACACTTTCACAGTCTCTTTTACATAAGTAACCTCTATATAGCGGACACTAACCATGAATTCAAAGAGAATGTCGCGATTATCATCATTACTCCTTCAGAATAGTGTGTTTTCTTTAATGATCTGATGGTAGAATAAAAGAAAATGTATTTTTGTGGAAGAGAAAGCACGCATCCTCTGTGTTGAATATGCGTGAAGGGTATATATTCAATCGTATTGTAATATTTGCACATTATTTTTATGGAGTGTTAAGAGAAAAGTGAGATTATAATGAATATACGAGCATTACATCCACAAGAAAAACCGCACGAATCAAAGCCAATCAATAATGGCCTGTTCACCAGTAGGAAAACTGACCGACACATGCAGCATAGAAAAAAGTAGAGTCACTCAATTTTAATCGGTGAGAAAAATGCTCTGATTACATTTCAAACTCGAACAAAGGTACAAAATGAAAGCATAATGAAGAAATTAGTCAAACAACCTTTTATCAAAAACTATTTTGGCAATTTTTGGCTTTTATATTTTGAAAAAATACTTGAAAAGAAAGTCATAAGGTACTCTATGTGACTATATGGTTCACTAATAGGCTCAATGTTTAAAAGAATGTCTGTATCTTTAAAAGAGAATCAAATTTTGAAAACAAATAGTCTCTCTATAGTGGACATACTTTTGAAAAGTCCGACGGATGTCCACTATAGAGAAGTCTTACTATACACAATTTATCATCCTCTATAGCCTGGTTAACAAAATTATCTGCTATACGAGGATGCATCTAGAGTCTGTCGGGTCCGGTTACGACTCTACGAAATGTTTTCACAGAGTACGGATACAGGGTGCACGAAAACATTTTCAGTGGTTAGATACAGATTGCGGTAGAAACTTTCATCTATATTGCAATAAAGTTAACTGCATTAAATCGTTTCTCATTTTTTTATCAAAAAGCATTTAGTTTATTCATAAAAGTAATATAAACAAAAGCCAAAGTCTTCTTGACTATAATATTCAAATCTAATTTACAGAAAAATCTACAAATCCAAAAAAAGATTATCTGATTCAATACTTTTGTTTGTGTTATCAATATCATCTAAAGCACTCTTCATCGTCACCGTCATTGTTATCACCATTAACTGTTATTTCTTTTGTAGTTGACGATGAAATTAAGTTGTTTGAGTCTTTGATGATCACGATTAATTCATCATTACCTGTATAAAGATGATTTACAAAAATTTTGGTTTTTAAAATAAAAGTGATTTATCATTATTCGTGATCATATCGGTATTTTATTTTATTTTATTTTGTAATATATATTATTTATAGTTATAGTTGATCTTCTCATTCCATTGTCCGAGCGACAACCAACCGTCTGCGTCTATTCATTAGAATTGATTCTTACTTTTTCATTACGCCTTTCGAAGTACGAAACTGATATANGGGTCCGGTTACGGCTCTACGAAATGTTTTCACAGAGTACGGATACAGGGTGCACGAAAACTTTTTCAGTGGCTAGATACAGATTGCGGTAGAAACTTTCATCTATATTGCAATAAAGTTAATTGCATTAAATCGTTTCTCATTTTTTTTATCAAAAAGCATTTAGTTTATTCATAAAAGTAATATAAACAATAACCAAAGTCTTCTTGGCCACAATATTCAAATCTAATTAGCAGAAAAAATCTATGAATCAAAAAAAAGATTATCTGATTCAATACTTTTGTTTGTGTTATCAATATCATCTAAAGCACTCTTCATCGTCACCGCCATAGTTATCATCATTGGCTGTTATTTCTTTTGTAATTGACGATGAAATTAAGTTGTTCGAGTCTTTGATTATCACGGTTAATTCATCATTACCTGTATAAAGATGATTTACAAAAATTTTGGTTTGTAAAATAAAAGTGATTTATCATTATTCGTGATCATATCGGCATTTTATTTTATTTTGTAATATATATTATTTATAGTTACAGTTGATCTTCTCATTCCATTGTCCGAGCAACAACCAACCGTCTGCGTCTATGCATTAGAATTGATTCTTACTTTTTCATTACGCCTTTCGAAGTACGAAACTGATATAACTGTATTATATTTTTTCCTTTTCTCAAATCATACAGTTACATTTTTTTGTCTACACTCTCACGTCTCATCTGTAGTTCGTACGCCTCCTATAATTTTTCTTTGCTTCATCGGTCTCTTTCGCCGAATACATAGTTTTTCACAAATATATATATATTTCCCTTTCTAAAGTGTGTTCCATTTTAACTCATATATGAATAACTTCATATTCATCTTTCTCGGTTTTACTTTTTGTAATAATGTCTATGTACATGGGTCTCGCATCAAACTCTTTCTGGATGTTAAAGCTAATAATCTCATGGATGTCTGGCAACGATCTCACGATACTCACCGTGAAGAAACGAATCTTACACGAAATATATTTTCCGTTCGTACCATTTTATACGGTATTATTGTTATAATACTCATCGCTGTCTTATATTATTTACGCCGTCAAGAAACGAGTGCTCTAACAAGTATGGCAGCATATGGACTATCTCAAATACATCCGGGAGTGAGTGTTCTCATGAGTGCTCTACAACGTCTTTATATCCTGGACAATGCGCCTCATTAACACGGCTTATATCCTCCATCTCATTTACCACCACTGAAATTCCAATTTACTCTGCAATTAATTTTGGACATTATCGTCTTCATTCTTCATTCATTTCTATTTGTTTTATGTTTCTTTGTTATGCTATGCTACTCTATCCTTTCTTCTTTTCATTTTATTACTCTCTTTCTCTTATGTTTTTTGCATTACTTGAGATTTTTTCTCTTTATTCAAATCCTTTTAATGTATGTGGACACGCATTTCTGTCGATGGGAAGATATGTTACAGTCATATGTTATTATTTCTTGAGTCATTGCGCTCTTATCGATATTTGTTTATTCAACTCGCATTCCTTGATGCTTTATTTCTCTTATATATACATATATATATATATATCCTCTCTTCTCTCGCATAAATAATTAATTGATTCTTAATAAAAAGAACATCGAGAAGAGAATAGGGAAACTCTAATAATATTTCATATTTATTTTTTTATTTTTTGGGTATATGTTCGCTTCATAGTAAAAGAAATATTTTTGAGACTGGAATGGTTTTTAACAGAAGAAATTTAACAACTAAAATTCTTTATTTATATCATGACTCAACAACAAGAAGTAATTGGCTAGGATCCGTATAGCTACTAATAATTATATAATCATAATCATAAAGAAATATTGCATTGATCGTTTAAGTTGAACACTTTAGAGTGCAACACTCATCCAAAAAACATTAGAAATATGGTTAATTTTCTGGATGACTACTAAACTCGGTTAAAGCACGCCAGTAAGACATATAACAGCACGGTTGAGATTTAGATTCGAGTCTTAACAGTTATCAATGATCAGGTCCAAGTAAGGATACGGGTGCATAAGCTTTTATCGATCAGGTTCGGGGACGTATACGAGTTTCTACGTTGTTATCGGTCGGATCTAGATCCAGTTGCGGCTCCTAAAATTCTTGAACCTGAAGGGCTCCAGGTGTATCATCCTTTACTATGAAAATGAAGGACATCGACTTTGATAGTACTCCGAAAATGGTCACTGCGTTACAATGTTTTGAAAAAAATAGGCATCAGAACAGAAAGGATTCTGTTGAAAACCGTATAGATTCTAATAGAGAATACGTCAGTACAGTTTTTGATCTAAAGGTTCTTAGCGATATTTTGATTTTTGAATATAACACAATCCAACAAAAATCTAAAAGATGACTATGTAATATGCAGTGCTGCCATCTTTTGAAGTTCGAAAAGCAGAAAAAAATTTATAAATAGCAGAAAATGACAGAAATTTGTTTCTGGAAAAGCAGAAAAACAGCAGAAAGTATATTTGCGATATAAAGCTATTTGTAAACTTTGTCCTTTCGTACTAATCAAGAACTTTCACATCAAATTTTGATGTTTATTGAATCAAGAAAAACAATTAATTAACAAATANGAATAAATAAATATCGATAAGAGCGCAATGACTCAAGAAACAATAACATATGACTGTAACATATCTCCTCACCGACAGAAATGTGTGTCCACACACATTAAAAAGATCCGAATAATGAGCAAAAATATGAAATAAAGAAAAACCAGAGAAAGCCTCAAAAACTGCGAAAAAGATAAGAGAAAGAGAATAAAAAAAAGAAAAAAAAGAAAGGACAGAGTGGTACCATAATAAAGAAACATAAAACAAATAAAAATGAATGAAGAATGAAGACGATGATGTCCAAAATTAATTGCAAAGTAAGTTAGAATTTCAGTGGTGGTAAATGAGATGGGAGATATAAGCCGTGTTAATGAGGCGCATTGTCCAGGATATAAAGACGTTGTAGAGCACTCATGAGAACACTAACTCCCGGATGTATTTGAGAGAGCCCAGATACTGCCATGCTTGTTAGAGTACTCGTTTCTTGACGGCGTATGAACGATCAAAGTTTTCGGTGTAAATAATATAAGACAACGATGCGTGTTATAACAATAATACCGTATAAAATGGTACTACCGGAAAATATATTTCGTGTAAGATTCGTTTCTTCACGGTGAGCATCGTGAGATCGTTGTCAGACATCCATGAGATTATTAACTTTATCATCAAGAAAGCGTTTGATGCGAGACCCATGTACATAGACATTATTACAAAAAGTAAAACCGAGAAAGATGAATATGAAGTTATTCATATATGAGTTTAAATGGAACACACTTTAGAAAGGGAAATACATATATATATTTGTGAAAAACGATGTATTAGGCGAAAGAGGCCGGTGAAGGAAAGAAAAATTATGGAAGGCGTACGAACTATAGATGAAACGTGAGAGTGTAGACAAGAAAAAAATGTAGCTGTATGATTTGAGAAAAGGAAAAAATATAATACAGTTATATCAGTTTCGTACTTCGAAAGGCGTAATGAAAAAGTAAGAATCAATGCTAATGAATAGACGCAGACGGTTGGTTGTCGCTCGGACAATGAAATGAGAAGATCAACTATAACTATAAATAATATATATTACAAAATAAAATAAAATAAAATTCCGATATGATCACGAATAATGATAAATCACTTTTATTTTACAAACCGAAATTTTGTAAATCATCTTTATACAGGCAATGATGAATTAATCGTGATCATCAAAGACTCAAACAACTTAATTTCATCGTCAATTACAAAAGAAATAACAGTCAATGGTGATAACAATGACGGTGACGATGAAGAGTGCTTTAGATGATATTGATAACACAAACAAAAGTATTGAATCAGATAATCTTTTTTTGGATTTATAGATTTTTTCTGTAAATTAGATTTGAATATTGTAGTCAAGAAGACTTTGGTTATTGTTTATATTACTTTTATGAATAAACTAAATGCTTTTTGATAAAAAAAAAAGAGAAACGATCTAATGCAATTAACTTTATTGCAATATAGATGAAAGTTTCTACCGCAATGTGTATCTAACCACTGAAAACGTTTTCGTTCACCTTGTATCCGTACTCTGTGAAAACATTTCGTAGAGCCGTAACCGGACCCGACGGACTCTAGATGCATCCTCGTATAGCATATACTTTTGTTAACCAGGCTATAGAGGATGATAAATTGTATATAGTAAGACCTCTCTATAGTGGACATCCGTCGAACTTTTCAACAAGTGTGTCCACTATAGAGAGACAATGTATTTTCAAAATTTTATTCTCTTTTAAAGATACAGACATTCTTTTAAACCTTGAGCCTATTAGTGAACCAAATAGTCACATAGAGTACCTTATGACTTTCTTTTCAAGTATTTTTTCAAAATATAAATTTTCGTACTGGTGAACAGGCCATTGTTGATTGGTTTTGATTCGTGCGTTTTTTCTTGTGGATGTAAGGCTCGTCTATTCATTATAATTTTACTTTTCTCTTAACACCCATAAAAATAATGCACAAAATATTACAATACGATTGAATATATACCCGTCACGCGTATTCAACACAGAGGATGCGTGCTCTCTCTTCCACAAAAATACATTTTCTTTTATTCTACCATCAGATCATTAAAGAAAACACACTATTCTGAAGGAGTAATGATGATAATCGCGACATTCTCTTTGAATTCATGGTTAGTGTCTGCTATATAGAGGTTACTTATGTAAAAGAGACTGTGAAAGTGTCCACTATACTGATGAGTCCGCTATAGATAGGTTAGATTCCAGCAAAAATTGCTCCGTCAAACTGCGGAGTGTCCACTGTATAGAGGTGTGTAACCCCTTCATAAGGATCAGAGATACAATTAATAAAAATACAAGGTGCCACAATACTTATTTATGGCAGATTGACAGCAAAGAAATTAAATGGTATATGCATATGGATGAA